ATAAACCAGTTCTTCAGTCTCACCAAAACATCCACAGTACACACAAGATAAGCTGTAGAAAAGAAGAGAAAGAGGAGCCATGGACAAAATCCTCTCGATCTCTCTGCAGGCAGTGTTCAGTGAAATTCAGTAATGAAAACACCAAGCTCTGTGCTAGTTACATAAAGGACTTCATTCTACCATTTACTTGACATGAGCCTGGCCAAGTAACAATACTAATAAAAGCACCTCTGTGATCGAGTAGCTCTTGAAGGGAAGGAGAAAGAACATAAATATTTTCTGGATGGCTACTGTATACCCAACACTCATGTTATCACTAGTGAATCTTCCAAAAAGCCTCAGATCTTTTTTTTTTTTTTTTGCGGAACTGGGGATTGAACTCAGGCCCTTGCCAGGGAAGCACTTATTCTACTGAGCCACCTCCCTGACCCCTAGCCTCAGATCTTATGTTTCTACTTTTTCTTAGATACAAGGTCTCACTACATAGTTCAGGCTGTCCTTGAACTCACTATGTAACCCAGGTAGACTGTGATGTTATAGCAATCTTCCTGCTTCAGCCTTCTAAGAGCTAGGGTTACAGGGGTGTTCCACCACGCATGGCTACGCCTGTTTTGCAGAGGCAAGTGGGGCTCACACTCTTTGCCCAGGTCCTGAAGGAGGTAGGGAGCTGAAGAATGTGTTCTAAGGTTTCCTCTCTTCTACTACTCCTCTGTTCATTATTAAACTAAACATTTAGTTAAAATTTTAAGCTAAAAATGTTTGCTGCAGTATGTTATTGCTTAGATTTGCCCTTCTTTGTTCTTATTACTTGCATGGTACAGATGAGGCAGAGAAAAATTACAGCAGTGAACACAGAACAACGAGAACCAGAACCTGAGGGCTCTGGTTCTGCAATTTCTGTCACCCACCGTCTGGGCCTAGCCAAGTCACCCAGCTCCCCCCCCCCATGAGAACGCTCATCCATAAAATGAGCAAGCTGGGTAAAATTATCCAGCTGTTTGTAATTTCTTCCAGATGCTGAGAAAACAAAACACAAATGAAACTACAAATCTTAGAAATCTGCTTCGGTCATTGGCTGGTGTGAGGCAGGCTGATCCCAGGCTGAGGCGCTGGCCCCTTGGCGAGGATCTCACCTCTGAGAACTCACTGCTAACGTTGGCCAACTTCACTAGGGATGTGGTCGGCCAGCCCACTAGCACCGCCTTCAAATTGCCAGAAGCAGATCTCTCTGAGACGGCAACTGACGAGGAAGACTGTGCCGAACGAGGAGCCACCAAAAATCTGTGTTCCAAAGGGAATATGTCACCCAAGCCCCATGAGTCCTCTGACAGCATGCTATCCTACTTGTGACACTCACAGTTGTTTTTAAAGACCCTGCTCCACTAGACAGTGTGTGCTGAGAGCTCTGTCTTGGTCACCTTGACATTCCCAGCTGGAGGCACAGAACTTGGCCAATCGCTGACCATTAGTGAGCGCTTCTGCAGTGAATGGTAAACGTCACACTGCCAAGCATCCAAAACCAATTTACCTTCTTGGTTTAGCTCAGAGGCTGTCTTTAGCGGCCCCTTTCCAAACTGCCACGATATTTTAACTATTTTTCCTATGGTGCAACTCATTTCCTATATCCTCTTATGAGTCCTTTATGTATATAGCTTACCATTCCCATAGTCTAGTTGAGACTGAAGTCATTTGCTAACCCCTGAAACCTTACAATAGGACCACAGTAGGTACATGATTAATGTGAAATGGATGTATTATTCATGCCTATATATATATTCCAAAACAACCTGTACAATGCATTACTGATAGATACTCAGTAAATTAAATATTCTTTCTGATTAAGCTGTAGTGAAACTATTACTCTCAAGTCACATGCCTATAGAAAAATATCCCTTTTGGGAAAATTAGGTTAAAAAATCATAAAAATCATATTTGAATAAATATCACACTTCTTGGATTTTACACTTAGGAAACAGGCAAACTGATACAAATCAAATAAAGGAGTATGAAAAGTCTATATAAAAATTTGCTGGAAAATAGTGAGAACTAAAGCATGTGTCTGATATAATAACTGACGTAACGTTATTCTACGACTCTAGTGATAGCTCAGATAATACAAAGTTCATACACATTGTGACAGCCACTGCGGATAAACAGGAACCCAATGGGAAAGGCAAGCATGCCGAAAAAGAGAGATTTGGGATGTGCCCGTGCAGCCAGCTCAGTTAGATAAAAACAGTATCGGTAGTCAGATAGAAAGAGGCCCTCAAAGAGCCAGTACAGAAGAGGCGATACCCTGCGACTGTGGGAGAGACAGACACCTCCAGCTGTGGGCCAAACCTCAACACAAAAGATGAAACGAATGCGTCCACATACTTGCTAGGGATAAACATCAGGGATTGATATTCTAAATAGGCCTCTATCACCTTGAGGAAGCCTGGAAGAGTCACCCACCCAGCCCCCGACAGGAAAGGAGCCTGCTCTGTGTTCACACCTGCTTTGCTACAGGACTTGCTTCCCCATTTGATTCCAATTTAATCAACTTTACTTGAACAATTATACTTGTAATCTTACTGGGTGACCATAGCTTTGTCCCACCTCATACCCAGCTTGAACCCGCCTCACCTGGTGGATTTGATTAAAAAAAAAAAAAAATCCCTGAAAAATACAGGTTCCTTGGCAACCCACTTGAGTTCCTTTCTGTCTCTCAGAGAGAAGCTTTCTTTCTCCCAATAAACATATTCTACTCTTAACCTCCACTGTTCCTAAAATTCATTCTTTGATTTTAGAGAACACACACTTGTACCAGGTATCTAGCAGGTTGGGAGCTTCCTGCCCCTGTCTCAGTGCTGTTACGTATGGTCCCCCTAAGTTTCCTGTAATATTATTTTAGATAAAAAATTTGCTATAGTCAATATAACATGTTCCTTAATATGGCTATATTTTTAGTGGGCCATTGTGTAGTGAGGACCGGAGCATACAGCTAAGCTACCTGCCAACTAGGCAACGCTTCAGTGTTTACCTCAGTACACAAGTGTTATGAAGTACAAAGTGCAGGCGTATTAGCCTGGTGCAGCAAGAGATCCAAATGAGAAGCAAGCAGCTCCTCCCAACAAAGGAATCTCAGCAAGCGCGTAACTGGCCAGAGCGTATCCACCCAGGAAAACTATCACTACGGTGTAAGCAGTCCCACTCCAAACCTCCAAAATCTGAAAGGCTCCAAACTCTGACCGCTTACAGGACACTATGTGTGGAAAATTCCACACCTAACATAGAATGAGTAACAATCAAATTACAGGTACACTAAAAAAACGATACATCAAGTTTCATTTGGGGTAGGTCTATAAGGTGAATAAGAAACCTAGTTTTTTATTTAGACTCAGGAGCTATCCCCAAGACACCTTACTACCTATGCAAATACTCAAAAATTTCACAAAATCCCAAACACATTTGGTCCCAAGCATTTCACATAAGGAGTACTTCACCTGGACTAGTTTCTGAGGGGGTTAGACAGCAAGCTGCAGCTCAGAAAGGACACGCAGAGAAAAGAGAAGTCCTGATGACAACTCTCTTCATGGCTCTCTACCCTTGTGTACCCTCTTATCATCAATTATTTGACAGGGGTCTGCAGACAGGCCCGTGACCCAATAGCTTTTTCTGGAAATAACGTTTAACACAGCCATGTATATAACCCATTCATCTTATATCACCCATTTTATTGAACCCACTCACTTCTATGTTATCTGTGGCTGCTTTCACAGGACAACAAGTTGAATGGTTGTCACAGAAGCTGTTTGGCTGCAAGGTGGTGCGTATTTACTATCTGGCTCTAGAGAAAAAGAAGCATTTGTCCTGTAGTCCCAGCTACAAGGAGCTTTATAACAAGGCTTCCCATTTAGAGTGTAATGAGCTATCTTTTCCCATTACTTTTGCTTCAGATGTGCTAACCACTTTCATTACAGCTACAGAGGAAGCGTTTAGTCATCTATTTACATAACCCTTAATTATTACAAATTGATACAAATAAGAGTTTAGTACCTACAAATTTCTCTTGGTTGAATGGTAACAATAAGCGATTTCTTTAGAAGGTCTTTTGTTTCAGATCTCTCCCAAGTAAGATAGTTACCAATCACCATCACTCATAGCCTTTCTCACAACTGGACACCAAAACAAGGATATCATGGATCATATGCTACCAAGCCATGCATGGATCTGAGCGTTTAACACGCGCCAACACTATACAAGGTTTCTAATTGCAACTTCCAGAATCGAAAATGAAAGAAAACACCTATACCCCATGCATCTTCTTTCAAGTAAAAAAAAATTAGCAATGTTGAAGAAATAAAACAAAAGCTGCTTTATTTGATGAAATTAAGACATATTTCATGAGACTGTTCTCTGTGAAAAATAATAGCTGAGGGCTTTGAAATCTCTCCGAATGGCTTTCCGAATACTGCCACCTGGTGGTCTTTTTGTTAATTGTTTCTTTGTCCTGCGGCGCTCCCACTGGTGAGCCTGGGAGGCATCGGTATGCAGACTCAGGGTACCTGTGGGAAGGTCATAGTGTCTGGAAGACAAACCCCAAACTGAAAAAAATGGGGCTTTCTAGGTCTTTAAGCACTATCACCAAATATTCTCATTCTCTTAGTCAACAGAATTATTCGTTCATAAATAACTAGAGATGTTATGAGGTCATTTTGAACACATCTTGAAAATTTCCCTCTCCACTTATCACTAGTAAGATCTCGAAAACGAAACTCTAATTGGCCTGACCATTTTTAGAGGAATTGTTAATAGCAGTTAATTAGCCGTTAGTGCACTTGGGAAGCAGCTGATAGTTTGAAAAAATAACATTTTAATGGACCATGTTTACTCAAATATTGGTTTTAATGGTATAATGGAACTTTGAAAATAAATTTCTTTCCAAGGCAATAGTACTACCTGTTTTAATTTAATCTACAAACAGGAGTAGCGCAAGACAATTTATATTACAATCTTACCTTGAGCATCCAGGCACACTCCCTGGTTGTCGAAGTGAACGTTTCCTCTGGGAAATGGGGCCCTGGGAAGATAAAAGTGAAAGTTAAAAAAATAGATGAGGCATTTAATAGGATGAAAACATAAAAGTAGAGTTACATAATTCATGTGTATTATTTGATCTGGCCGATGATAGAAAAAGAAATTTTAGGTAAGAAACCCTGCATTTTAATTTCTCAAACCTTACATTCTGCTGTGATGAAAACCCCAGGCAGCCTCTTCTTGGATACTCAATGCCAATGTCAATTAAACTTCCCAAATTTGCAGCTTTTGAATCTAGTACTAAAACAGTCCATAAGGACTTCCAGGAAAATGGCAAAATATGAGATTTGGAACCCAGATACTGAAATATAGCACACTGTGGAAGAGAAGGAGGAGGGAAGTATGGCCCCGGAAACCAGCAAAGCTCTGAAGAGAGCTAGAGCCCGTGGAGCCCGCAGAGAGAGGGAGCACAGGGCAGCGGAGGGAGGAGCAAGCAGTACTTCTTTATGCCTGAGCACCAGCTGGTGGTGTGGGGGGGACGGCTCCAATCTGCAGGGGCACAGTGACTACTCATAGTCTCCGAGGCCTCCGCAGAGAGATGCACCAGTGGACCAGAGCAGTGGACACAGCAGAGTGCAGGCTGTTGAGTTGTTTGGGTTCAGATGCCCACCAGGAGAGGGCGACTGACCAGGAGCCATTTTGGAAAGGGGCCAGTAGAAGTCAGAACTCAGAGCAGCTGCGGGTTGGCTCCATCCAGTGGCTCCAAATGCCAGGGTGGCACACAACCAAGTTCAGGCTGGCAGGGAGATGAGCTCGAGCCTACCGGAGCATCACAGTGTTGCCTGCTGAAAAAACTTGGGTCTTGGCCTCACAGCAAGAAACCAGAAGCAGCGTGAACTTAGTGGAACTAAAAGCCCAGGTTTGCCAGGATTCTCTGTCACCACCACCACTCTGCTGCTGGGGTCAATTGACACAGAGCTGGACTCTGTGTGGCCCCTCTGTAAACGGTGAAAGAATAGACACACCCCGAAGTAGATATATTTTTCCTGCTTTTCTTCCTCTCTTTACTTTTGAATTTTTTAGACTTTATTTTTTTCTTGTTTGTTGTTTTGCACAAGTGAGAACAGTTTCTGGTTTTTTGCTTTCTGTTGTTTCTTCCTTCTTTTCCTCCTGTCTGTTCCAACAGTTGCCAAAGCTTGTAGCATTTTCCTTTGTCCTCTAGTCCTGCTTCAAATTGCTTTTTCTTCTTCTGTTTCTCTACTTCCCCACCTAACCCCTTTAAAATTTTTCCCCCCCGTGGGTAAAATTATCAAATTGAGGAAATATTTCTGGTATATTACTTTCTGATTTATTTCAGATTTGGTTGTATAACTATAAATTCTGTTCATAGAGCCAAAGATAGCAAATTAATAGTTACCAGTCTGCCATTTTCTAGGGGGTGTTTGATGCTATTGTTATCAGTGATTGTGCTACTTTAGCTACAGTGATGTAGTTGTTTTCATCAGTAGTTCCTCCACGTATGCCAAGACTGAGACTGCCTGGGGGTCATAAATGTTGCTATAGGCCTGTGCCAAAGAACTAGGGGCGAGGCTACACAGCAGAAACTTCTCCACTCTCATACATTGCAGATGTAAGATCTTGCAAGAGACTCAAAACCCACAAGCCAGCTTCCTCTGGAAGACATCTCTGAGTAGTGCGCATTTTCCATGGTTCTCAATACTGGCCATAAAGATAACCTACCTTAAACAATTGACAAGCATCAATGCAGGAACTAAACTACAAAAGAATATAAGGCGAGGGAGATAGCTCAGTGGTCTAAATGCCTGCCTAGCAAGTGCAAGGATCTGGGTTCAATCCCTGGTACCACATACTGTGCTGGCCCACCCCCAGACATGCTGAGCCGGCCACTGAAACTAGGTATGGTGGTGCACGTCTGTAATCCCAGAGCTGGAGTGGCTGAGACAGGAGGATCACTATGAGCCTGAGCTGTGTAATGAGATCCTGTACCAAACAAATAAATAAATTAAAAAAATTTTATAAAAGAAATACAAAAGGAGAAGACATAGAAGAAGTAAAATGCAACCCCATCTTTCCAACTCATCCAAGGAAAACCCAGGGGCAATGAAGTGGAACAGTTTGGAAGCCACCCACCTGGACTCTCGAAGTGGCAACAGGAAAAGTAACAAATCAAGTGAATGAAGCTCTAGAAAACATCAAATTAGAAATAATTTCACATTTCAGAGATATGAACTATAACAAAAGATATTACTAGTAAACATAGAGAAGATACAGGTAAAATAAATTGTTTAGGAAAATGATGGAAATCATGAATGCCCAACATAGGAAAGAAACCACAAAATACATATCCAGGAGATTAAAACTTCTATTGAAAGTATATACAGCAAAATGAACCAATGTGGGAGCAGAATATCAGATTTAGAAGACAGAATTGTAGCTATTGATCATGAAAGAGAGATTTCTTAAAAATAGCAGGGGGAATCATGAAAAATCAATCCAACAGCTGTTAGATGATGCAAACAAACAAACAAGTACACTAAAGGATTAGTTGGAATCAATGAAAAAGCAAGAGATAGCCCAGATGGCATTGAAAAACCCATTCACAGAGGTAATGGCAGAAAACTTCCCAACCATGAGAAAAGAATTTGAATACAGGTCAGTAAGGTATATAAAATCCTAATTAGCCATGATCAAATAAATTCTATCCCAAGACGTATAATAGCCAGGATTCTGGAACTCAACACAAGAATGGAATATCAAAATCTGTTAGAGAAAAGAAAGAAATCACTTATAAAGGAAAGTCCATCAGAATTACAGTGAACTTCTTAACACAATCCTTAAGCCAAGAAGAGCTTGGAGTGAATTATTTTGGGCCCTAAAAGAAAACAATCTTCAACTCAGATTGATGCACCCCTATAAAACTATCTTTCAAAAGCAATGGAAGAATAAGTAGTTCCATGACAAAGAATGCCTGAAGAAATTTGTGACCATCAAATCTGTATCCAAAATGTACTGAAGGACATTCTAGAAAGAGAGCAAAGACTACAACCTCACGAACCCCAATAGAATGAATCTATCAGGTAAGCCAAGGAATTAAACAGAAGGGAAAAACGAGAATCAACAACAGGAAAGTAATATGGCAAGGGCAAGTCAATACATGTTAATTATAACTATCAATGTAAATATCTCAATTAAATTGAGTCAAAAGAAACAGATTGGAAGAATAGATGAAGAAACAAGATCCAATGATATGTTGCATACCAGAAACACATTTAAGTAAAAAAGAAAAATATAGACAACAAAATGCAAAGGATGCAAAACAATATTCCTTCTGAGAGGAATCCAGAAAAAAATCAGGGCTAGCTATTCTATTTGCAGACAAAGTAGATCTAAGGCAAGATCGATCAAGAGAGACAAAGTCACTACATCCTTTTTAAGGGAACAATACAAGAGGAAGAGATAATAATCATATATATATATATATATATATATATATATATATATACCAAATGCCAGTTTATCCAACTATATCAAACAAATATTAGCAGACATGAAAACTCAAATAAGCACTAACATAATTGTAATGGGGGACCTTAATATTCCACTGTCACAAATAGACAAACTGGGCCAAAAAAATTAATGAAATATCAGAACTAAATCAAATATTTGAACAATTAGACCTAGACCTAGACAGAGCACCTCTTCCACAACATTAGAATACACATTTTCTTAGCTGCAAATAGAATATTCTCCAAAACAGACCATATATCAGCTCATAGAACATGCTTAAGTAAATGCAAAGGAATTGAAATTATCTCATGCATATTATCAGACTATAGTGGAATGAAACTGGAAATTAATGGTAAAAGAAATCACAGAAAATGCACAAATACATGGAAATTATATAACACCTTCCTGAATAACCAATTGCTCATGGATGAAATTAAAGAAGAAATCAGACAGTTTCTACAAATAAAAGATAATGCTAATACAAAATGCTAGAATTTATGGGATGCAACGAAAGCAGTACTATGAGGGAAATTTATAAAGGTGAATTCCCACAGAAACATATTGTTCAGAAATACAGAACAATGTCAAATAAATTACCTAACATTGAACCTTAAGCTTCTAGAAAAAGAGCAAGTCAAGCCCATAGCTCATACAAGTGAGGAAATTATGAAGATTAGAAAAAAAATTAATGCAACTTTGACTAAGAAAACAGTACAAAGAGCCAATGAATAGAATATTTGATTCTTTGAAAGATTAAATAAAAAAAAAACCTTAGCCAAGTGGATATGCAGGTCAAAAAAAGGAAAGAAAAGACTCAAATCCTTATAATCAGGAATGAAAAGAGTGAAATCACAATGAATTTTGCTTAAATCCAGAAGATCATTAATACCTATCTTGAGAACCTGTATTCTAATAATCTGGAAGACAGATAATCTGGCAGATGAATTACCAAAGCTGAATCAAGAAGATATAAAAATTATAAATAAATTAGTATCAGTCAATAAAGTTGAAGATATAATGAAAAACTTACTAATAAAGAAAAGCCAAAGTCTTGAAGGATTCACTGCTGAATGCTACAAAGAATCTAGAGAAGACTGAACGCTGCTACTCCTCAAGCTCTTTAATGAAACTGAAAGTAAAGCAGTCCTCCCAAACCCATTCCTGGAAGCAAGCATTACCCTGATAGGAAAACCAGAGAAGGATACAACCCAAAAAGAGAGGACCGATCTCCCTAGCGAACGGAGATGTTAAAATCCTCAATAAGATACTAGCAAACTGAATGCAGTAGACCATCTGGAGGTTTACACACCACGACCAAGTATGATTCATCTCAGGGATGCAAGGATGGTTCAACTTATGCAAATCAGTAAATATAATACACCATATCAGAGCCAAAGACAAAACTGACATGATCATCTCAATAGATACAGAAAAAAATTTGATAAAATTCAACAGCCATTCATGACAAAATCTGACAGAAAATTGGAATAGACAGACTTTATCTCAACCTGATAA